GATAGGGAATGGCAAGGGACACACTGACAAAGGAGATTAATCAGAACTGGCTTTGACAAGCACTGTGGCAATGGGACAATTAAAACAGACATTCGGGGGGCGGGAAGAAGAATGAACTGGGGAGGAGGGTAGAGAAAACAGTGCGACAATGAATGAATGAAAACCTAAAATCTCTGTAAATGTTCATTAAAACTAATAAAATTTAATAATAATTTTAATTAAAAGAAAGGGCCATTCCTTGGAATGAGAGATCATGCTTGGAAAGGTCAAGTGTCAGCAACAGAGAGTAGACCCTTAACAAGGTGAATTGACACAATGACTGTTACGATGGACTCACGTGCATCAAAGATTATTATGAAGATGGTACAGGACAGGGCAGAGTACACATCTGGTGTTAATAGGGCCAAAATAGGTCATGGTCAAGTACATGACACCTAAAAACAACAACAACATTGATGTGGGTGTTGATTATAGATCCATGTAAAATTGAATCATTGATAACTTCAGTCTTTTCTCCATATATCATGATGTTGCCTTTTGGTCCAGTGGTGAGGTTTCTGTTTTCTTGATGCTGGGATATAATCCATATTGAAGCCTATATAGTCTTTGATCTTCTCCAGTAAGTGCTTCAAGTTCTCATCACTTTACACAAAGTTGTGTTATCTGCTTAACAGAGGTTGTTGGTGAGCGGCCCATAGACCATGCTATAATAATTCGGTGCGCATGTACGTGGCCTTCAGAGGTGGAGTCTGTCGCAGGCACTTCTGGGTTAAGAAACCATTTACTATGGAATGGGCTCCTGTGCCATATAGGAGTGTCCTCTGGTTCGAATCTTTGTTCTGTAGCTGGTTTGCTCAAAGGAGTTCAGCTCTTGGTCATAAACCGCATCTCTGTGCATGTGTAGAAAGCCGGCTGAAACCAGCTGCCTTTGAACCACTGACAGAAGAGGCTGACTGAGAAAGACACGATGCTCAAAGAAGTTAGCTGATTAGCAATGCTGATTATATACAGTTGACAAGATGCAAGGATGATATATGGTTTAAGGAACCTCTTAGTACTAAATTATGCATCTTACCTGGCCTATATCTTAATTATCCCTTTGGGAGGTAACTCTCGTACCCTGTCCTACCTCGAAGGCACACCCTTACTCATGTGAGACCCCTGCATGAGAAGAGGTTGCCCATCCTTCTCTCGTGGAGCAGCTGGTGGATTTGAACCATGTGCCTCTGGTATTACAGTGTAGCATCTTACCACTGGGCCACCAGAAGATGGAAGAAAAATGGGCGCCTTTGAATTATAGTACTGATGAAGAGTATTGAATATACCATGGACTGCCAAATGAACAAAAATACAGCTTGAAGGGAGTCCACCCACGGTGCGTCTTAGAAGGAGTGATGGGGAAACTCTCTCTCACATGCTTTGGGCATGCTGGAGGAGGTGCCAGTCCTTGGAAGAAGACATCACGCTGGGTGAAGTAGAGAGTCAATGAAAGAGAGGAAGATCTTCATTGAGGTGGCTATAGTGACTTCAACAATGAGTTCGTTCACGGTGGAGATTGGGAGGATGGCCAAGGCTGGGGCAAGGTTCCCATTTGTAGTTCATATGATCACTATGATTGGCATCTAACCACAACGCCCTGTTTTAGTTGACCTAGTTGAGAAGAGCAGTCCTGCACGTCAAACACAAGCCCGAAAAAGCACAGGACCCCAAAAACTTGCGATTACTTTTACACACGAACCCCCATCAGCAGGAAGTCACAGAAACCCTGGGTGGAGTCATCCAGGAAGGACATGGCCACCTTCTCTCCCCTCTCCTTTTGGGGCTTTGAGCCACCGCCTGCCTTAAACCCTAGTCCAAGCCTCAAGGGTCTCGCTCCTGGGGAGAAGAGCAATCCTGCACGTCGAACACGAGCCTGAAAAAGCACACGACCCCAAAAACTTGCGATTACGCGGACCACCACGCTCAGGCATGAAGTCACAGAACTTCTGGGTGTCTATAAAACCATGGTTTCATATACACTATCAAAGAAAACTGATTTCAATGACACTTAATAAATGTAAATTGTTGTTATGGGCCATCAAGTCGCTTGCGACTCAGTGATCCTATGTACAACAGCTCTAAACTCTGCTCCGTTCTGTGCCAATCTCATTGTCTCCGACACACTCATCCCAATTGCCCCAGTCACCAAATCAATCCACCTCCCAGAGAGCCTTCCCCTCCTGCGCCTGCCCTCCACCCTCCCAAGCATAATGTCCCTCTCCAAGGACCGGTCTCTCCTTACAACATGACCAAAGTATGTCAGACGAAGCCTCAGAATCCTTGCTTCCAAGGAGCAGCCCGGTTTAACCCTCTCCAGGATGAATCTGTTTGTTTTCTTAGCAGTCCATGGTACCCTCAACACTCTTCTCCAGCACCACAGCTCAAAGGCATCAATTCTCCTTCTATCCTCCCTGGTCATTGTCCAGCTCTCTGATGCATAACAAGTGATTGCAAAGACCATGGCCTGTACCAGGCGCACCTTAGTCTCCAGAGACACACCATTGCTCTTCAGTACTTTAGAGGGGTCCCTAAATATGAGCATAAAGTAAACTATTCTGTAAATACAAAGAGATTCTATTTAAAAATTTATTTAATTTTTTTAAGTGGAAAACATTTTACTAAGTTAAATATATCAATCACGAAAGGGCAAGTATTGAATGATCCCATTAAAATTTAATGCATAGGATTAGCAGAGATATGAAAACTGAAGTTTGCTAGTGGTTATAAGCACAAGAGAAGAAGAAATCAAGCGTCCTTGTTTAGGAAGTCCTGCCTTTCCCATTATATTTATAAAACTCTGGCAGTGGCTTATAGTAGATAATTGTACAACATACTGAAAAGTAGAGAACGTGGGTAAAAGGTTGGCCCTGCTAGTGAGGCAGGCACTGTGCCAGGGACGGGACCATCGCTGGCATTCTAATGCCAGGCCTGCGGGTATGCGCCAGCAGGGCGCACCCGAGCCTCTCTGCCCACGCCCTTCAGGTTTGAATGAGTCACAGGCTGAGCCGGCTTTCGTGGCTCGATGACGGAGTCTTCACCAATGTAGGCGAAAGGTCCAGTTTTTACAGATGGGTGTCCACATACTACATTTGTCAGGAAAGACTTGCATGCCTTTATGGTACTTGCATACCTCTAGGATACATGGAAGCTCGGGTTTCAGCTGAACTTCCAAGCTAAGGTGGACTAGGAAGAAAGGCCTGGAGATCTAATTCCAAAACATCAGCTTGTGAAAATGCAGTGGGTCACGTGAGAATGTGGGTCTCATGCAGAATGTTCAGTTAGCAGCTGTGGCTGGATGGGGCACTGTTTTGTTCTGTTATGTCTGGGGTCACCCCTGTCAGGGCTTGACTCCTCAAAAGCTATCACCAGACTGTACTCCTTTCCCATTTTGCAATTGTTTTTGCCTCAGGAGCCATGCTTGAAGCTCAAGGAGCCGTCTCAGGCTGTGCTGGGAAAAGAAGACGATCAAGAGAAGGTCCCTGCTGGAGAAGTTGGCAGTGGTGCTGAGGAAGAAAGGTACGAGAGGAATTCAGATTTGGCAGAATTCATTTGCCCATTGCAGTGTCTTCAGTGCTCAAGCATTTCTCACTGCCCCTTGCATCATGGCTCGGGAGGGAACAGACACACATTTTATGTGACTTCAGCACCACCATAGGCTTTCCATTTGTTGTTAGTGTTGTAAGGTGACATTGAATTAGAGACCCTTTGGTGAACAGAATGAAACCCTGCGTTGACACCTTCACAGTGGTTGTTGTTGTTGTTGTTGTTGTTGTTAATGTGCCATCGAGTCGCTTGCGACTCGTAGCGACCCTATGTACAAGAGCTCTAAATGCTGTTCTCTCCTGTGCCAACTTAGCCATCTCAGACGCACTTATTCCCACTGCTCCAGTCACAGAATCGATCCATCTCACCAAAGGTCTTCCTCTCCTTCGCTTCCCCTCCACTCTGCCAAACATGATGTCCCTTTCCAAGGACCAGTCCCTCCTTGCAACATGCCCAAAATATGTCAGACGAAGCTTCAGAATCCTTGACTCCAGGGAACACTCTGGCTTCACCCTCTCCAGGACAAACCTGTTTGTTCTCCTAGCAGTCCATGGTATATTCAACACTCTTCTCCAGCACCACAGCTCAAAGGCATCAATCCTCTTTCTATCAGCCCTCTTCACTGTCCAACTCTCTGATGCATAGCACATAATTGCGAAGACTATAGCCCGGATTAGGCGCACCTTAGTCTCCAGCCTGACATCGTTGCTCTTCAGTACTCTTGAGAGGTCCCTCACAGCTGACTTTCCCAATGCAGTTCGTCACAGTGGTTACTGTGCTTAATTAAACCTATGATTGCAGCCATCTCATTAAAGGTCTTCCTCTTTTTTTGGAGCTCTGGTGGCCTAGTGGTCGGGAGTTGCCCTGTCAACTCAAAGGCATACTGTTCAAATCCACCCATTTTCGCCAGGAGAAACATGGGCATTCAACTCTCGTGTACTGTCAGGTTGGAACCAATCCATAGCTGATGCTCCATTGAGTTTTCAGGGGCAATAAATCACATGGAAGGACATTGCCCGTGTTCCTCCCAGAGAGCAGCTGGGGATTCGAACCATATGCCTGTGGGTTGGCAGTGCAGCTCCCTACCGCTAATCCACCAGAGCTCCCTCATGATTAGAGAGGATAGACGTGTAAGATCCCAACTGAAACTAACTACGTCTAGATTTCTCAGCTTGTTTCAAGTTCAGAACTGAGGATGATAAGGTCTCCTCCAATGACACATGGCAGCATTTGTTCTAGAAACAGGAACTGTGGGGGCTTGCCTCTGATGACCAGTGAGTGGCTTTAACATTTTCCACAGTCCATTTTCACTCAGTCAAGGAGCCTAGAAGCCTGAATTCATGGTGCCCGCTCTACGGGAAGGTATTCTATCTGTGTGGGCTCAGGAGGAAGGTCCTTGTCTTTGCAATACCTGTTGTTGGTTCATTTTCTTATGTCTTCACATCTGTCTTGGCCCATCTCTCCTTTGTCTGTTTGTTTAATCTCGTTTATATCTTAAAAGAGATTGATTCAAGTTATGTTGTTGTTGTTGTTGTTGTTGTTATGTGCCATCGAGTCGCTTGCAACTCATAGCGACCCTATGTACAACAGCCCCAAACTCCGCTCTGTCCTGTGCCAATTGCACTGTCTCTGACACTCCCATCCCAATTATCCCAGTCACTGAATCAGTCCACCTCATAGAGGGCCTTCCTCTCCT